AATGGGACGGTGTGGCAGAGTGTCAGGGTCGTCTACCACATTGGTACTAGCAGTGGCAGTGTTGGTGATGGTTGTCACCGTATATAAGTACGGCAGCAACATGGGAGTGACGAGGTCCGACCTCCACACACCCTCAAAATCCTCAGAGATGAACGGTCAGTGTCTTATAGTTTCTGTTAGGTTAATGCAAATAAGATACCAGATATATTAAGCAAATGTCCTAAATGTGCTTGTAACAGATGAGTTGTAGATGTAAATCCAAATGTTCTCCTGTTAACCCTCTTGGAGTCTAGTTCCTGGGCCTTTTGTGTATCCATAGGTTCTTGAGCTGCCGTCCACAGGATGGATATGGGATATACAATAAACTAGCCACTACAATCCACAGGATAGACATGAGGTACACAATAAACTAGCCACTACAATCCACGGGATAGACATGAGATACACAATAAACTAGCCACTACCATTCACAGGATGGAAATGAGGTACACAAAAAACTAGCCACTACCATCCACAGGATGGATATGAGGTACACAATAAACTAGCCACTACCATCCAGAGAATGGACATGAGGGACACTATAAACTAGCCACTACCATTCACAGGATGGATATAAGGTAGACAATAAACTAGCCACTACCATCCACAGGATGGATATGAGGTACACAATAAACTCGCCACTACCATCCACAGAACGGACATGAGGTACACAATAAACTCGCCACTACCATCCATAGGATGGACATGAGGTACACAATAATCTAGCCACTACCATCCACAGGATGGATATGAGGTACATAATAAACTAGCCACTACCATCCACACGATGGATATGAGGTACACAATAAACTAGCCACTACCATCCACACGATGGATATGAGGTACACAATAAACTCGCCACAACCATCCAGAGAATGGACATGAGGTACACAATAAACTAGCCACTACCATTCACAGGATGGATATGAGGTACACAATAAACTAGCCACTACCATCCACAGGATGGACATGAGGTACACAATAAACTAGCCACTACCATCCACAGGATGGATATGAGGTACACAATAAACTAGCCACTACTTAGATTTTAGTAAGGCTTTTGACAGAGTTCCGCACCAAAGACTGTTAAAGAAAATGGCAGCTCATGGCATTGGGGGGAGGGTGCTCTCGTGGATCGAGTCATGGCTCACTGACAGGAAGCAGAGTGTCCATAAATGGGGTTAAATCCGAGTGGGGATCTGTAACAAGTGGCGTTCCACAGGGATCAGTCTTGGGCCCGTTGTTGTTTATAATATATATCAATGATCTTGATGAGGGAATTACTAGTGATATGAGCAAATTCGCCGATGACACAAAGATAGGTAGGATAATTGATTCAAACGTAGATGTTATGGAACTTCAGGAGGATTTAAACAAACTCTATCTTGGTCAGAAAAGTGGCAGATGCAGTTCAATGTAGATAAATGCAAGGTTCTGAAGCTTGGGAGTGCCCATACCCTAGTACTTATAAGTTAAATGATGTAGAACTTAGCCATACAGATTGCGAAAAGGACTTGGGGGTTATGGTGAGCAGCAACCTTAAACCAAGACAGCAATGCCTAAGCGTACGTAATAAGGCAAATAGATTACTGGGATTTATATCAAGAAGTGTAAGCAACAGAAGTCCAGAGGTCATACTGCAGCTTTATACTCATTAGTAAGGCCTCACCTAGATTATGCAGCTCAGTTCTGGTCTCTGTATTACAAAATGGACATAAATATCGTTAGAAAACATTCAGCGTAGGATGACTAAATTAATACGTAGCATTAGAAATCTTCCTTATGAAGAAAGATTGAAGACTCTTAAGTTACATTCACTTGTTAGACGAAGAATGAGGGGAGACCTGATCGAAGTGTATAAGTGGAAGATAGGTATTAATAAAGGGGATATTAATAAGGTCTTGAGAATGTCTCTCCAAGAGAGAACCCGCAGTAATGGATTTAAATTAGATAAGTTTAGATTTAGAAAGGACATTGGAAAGTATTGGTTTGGAAATAGGGTAGTTGATGAGTGGAACAGTCTACCTAGTTGGGTTATTAATGCTGGGACTTTGGGTAGTTTTAAATCTAGGTTGGATAAGTACATGAGTGGGAGGGGTTGGATTTGAGTGGGATTTTCACATCAGATCTTATTTCTTGGGTGGCATTGAAAATTGGGCAAATGTTTTGTAAGTGGGATGAATTGTAAAGGACCTGCCTAGGATGGGCCAGCAGGCCTCCTGCAGTGTTCCTCCTTTCTTATGTTCTTATGTTCTAGCCACTACCATCCACAGGATGGATGTGAGGTACAAAATAAACTAGCCACTACCATCCACAGGATGGATATGAGGTACATAATAAACTAGCCACTACCATCCACAGGATGCATATGAGATACACAATAAACTAGCCACTACCATCCACAGGATGCATATGAGGTACATAATAAACTAGCCACTACCATCCACAGGATGCATATGAGGTACACAATAAACTAGCCACTACCATCCACAGGATGCATATGAGATACATAATAAACTAGCCACTACCATCCACAGAATGCATATGAGGTACATAATAAACTAGCCACTACCATCCACAGGATGCATATGAGGTACACAATAAACTAGCCACTACCATCCACAGAATGCATATGAGGTACACAATAAACCAACCACTATCATCCACGGGATGGACATGAGGTCCACAATAAACTAGCCACTACCATCCACAGGATGCATATGAGGTACATAATAAACTAGCCACTACCATCCACAGGATGCATATGAGGTACATAATAAACTAGCCACTACCATCCACAGGATGCATATGAGGTACACAATAAACTAGCCACTACCATCCACAGGATGGACATAAAGTACACAATAATCTAGCCACTATCATCCACAGGATGGATATGAGATACACATTAAACTAGCCACTACAATCCACAAGATGGACATGAGGTACACAATCAACTAGCCACTACCATCCACATGATGGATGTGAGGTACAAAATAAACTAGCCACTACCATCCACAGGATGAATATGAGATACACATTAAACTAGCCACTACCATCCACAAGATGGACATGAGGTACACAATAAACTAGCCACTACCATCCACAGGATGGATATGAGATGCACAATAAACTAGCCACTACCATCCACAGGATGGACATGAGGTACAAAATAAACTAGCCACTACCATCCACAGGATGGATATGAGATACACAATAAACTAGCCACTACCATCCACAGGATGCATATGAGGTACATAATAAACTAGCCACTACCATCCACAGGATGGACATAAAGTACACAATAATCTAGCCACTACCATCCACAGGATGGATATGAGATACAAAATAAACTAGCCACTACCATCCACATGATGGACATGAGGTACACAATAAACTAGTCACTACCATCCACAGGATGGATATGAGGTACACAATAAACTAGTCACTACCATCCACATGATGGATATGAGGTAAACAATAAACTAGCCACTACCATCCACATGATGGATATGAGGTACACAATAAACTAGCCACTACCATCCACATGATGGATATGAGGTACACAATAAACTAGCCACTACCATCCACATGATGGATATGAGGTACACAATAAACTAGTCACTACCATCCACATGATGGGATATGAGGTACACAATAAACTAGCCACTACCATCCACATGATGGATATGAGGTACACAATAAACTAGCCACTACCATCCACATGATGGATATGAGGTACACAATAAACTAGTCACTACCATCCACAGGATGGATATGAGATACACAATAAACTAGCCACTACCATCCACAGGATGGATATGAGATACAAAATAAACTAGCCACTACCATCCACATGATGGATATGAGGTACACAATAAACTAGCCACTACCATACACAGGATGGATATGAGGTGTACAACAAACTAGCCACTGCCATCCAGAGGATGGATATTAAGTACACAATAAACTAGCCACTACCATCCACAGGATGGATATGAGGTACACAATAAACTAGCCACTACCATCCACACGATGCGTATGAGGTACACAATAAACTAGCCACTACCATCCACAAGATGGATATGAGGTACACAATAAACTAGCCACTACCATCCACAGGATGTATATGAGGTGCACAATAAACTAGCCATTACCATCCACAGGATGGATATTAAGTACACAATAAACTAGCCACTACCATCCACAGGATGGATATGAGGTGCACAATAAACTAGCCACTACTATCCACAGGATACATATGAGGTATACGGTAAAGTAGCCACTACCATCCACAGGATGGATGTGAGGTGCACAATAAACTAGCCACTACTATCCACAGGATGGATGTGAGGTGCACAATAAACTAGCCACTGCCATCCACAGGATGGATATGAGGTACACAATCAACTAGCCACTACCATCCACATGATGGATGTGAGGTACAAAATAAACTAGCCAATACCATCCATAGGAGGGATATGAGATACACATTAAACTAGCCACTACCATCCACAAGATGCACACGAGGTACACAATAAACTAGCCACTACCATCCACAAGATGGATATAAGGTACACAATAAACTAGCCACTACCATCCACAAGATGGATATAAGGTACACAATAAACTAGGCACTTCGATGGCAAAATATAATTTAATATGTTAGGTACAGTAGTGTGCATATTAACTGGGACAGTGATGAAATAAAGCATTGATTTGAAAAATACGTGACAATGGTATGACAGATTTTTTGATTTAATAATGAATGCTACAACCTGCAGCAGAGTCGATCAATGTTGATCACGGGTTCCCAAGTTCCTGGTCGTGGTTCCAGGTCCCAAGTTCCTGGTCGTGGTTCTAGGTCCCAAGTTCCTGGTCGTGGTTCCAGGTCCCAAGTTCCTGGTCGTGGTTCCAGGTCCCAAGTTCCTGGTCGTGGTTCCAGGTCCCAAGTTCCTGGTCGTGGTTCCAGGTCCCAAGTTCCTGGTCGTGGTTCCAGTGTCCCAAGTTCCTGGTCGTGGTTCCAGTCCCAAGTTCCTGGTCGTGGTTCCAGGTCCCAAGTTCCTGGTCGTGGTTCCAGGTCCCAAGTTCCTGGTCGTGTTCCAGGTCCCAAGTTCCTGGTCGTGTTCCAGGTCCTAAGTTCCTGGTCGTGGTTCCAGGTCCCAAGTTCCTGGTCGTGGTTCCAGGTCCCAAGTTCCTGGTCGTGGTTCCAGGTCCCAAGTTAATGGTCGTGGTTCCAGGTCCCAAGTTCCTGGTCGTGGTTCTAGGTCCCAAGTTCCTGGTCATGGTTCCAGGTCCCAAGTTCCTGGTCGTGGTTCTAGGTCCCAAGTTCCTGGTCATGGTTCCAGGTCCCAAGTTCCTGGTCATGGTTCCAGGTCCCAAGTTCCTGGTCGTGGTTCTAGGTCCCAAGTTCCTGGTCATGGTTCCAGGTCCCAAGTTCCTGGTCGTGGTTCTAGGTCCCAAGTTCCTGGTCATGGTTCCAGGTCCCAAGTTCCTGGTCATGGTTCCAGGTCCCAAGTTCCTGGTCATGGTTCCAGGTCCCAAGTTCCTGGTCGTGGTTCCATGTAAAAAGAACAGCAGCAATTAGCTTCTCCACAGTTGAACATAACGTAAAAAAGGAGGATCACTGCAGCAGGCCTACTGGTCCATACTAGGCAGGTCCCTCTCAAACCCAAAACCACTTACAAATATATTTACTCGACACATTTTTAATGCTACCCACAAGAAATAAGTTTTGATAATCTTATTTACTCATGTGGAAGTCTCACTCAACTCCAACCTTTCTAATTAGTGTATTTAGCTAAACTAAATTTTAATCTGCCCAAGTTTTAGCTTCAATAACCCTACTAGGTACACTTCCACTCATCCACTACTAGGTACACTTCCACTCATCCACTACTAGGTACACTTCCACTCATCCACTACTAGGTACACTTCCACTCATCCACTACTAGGTACACTTCCACTCATCCACTACTAGGTACACTTCCACTCATCCACTACTAGGTACACTTCCACTCATCCACTACTAGGTACACTTCCACTCATCCACTACTAGGTACACTTCCACTCATCCACTACTAGGTACACTTCCACTCATCCACTACTAGGTACACTTCCACTCATCCACTACTAGGTACACTTCCACTCATCCACTACTAGGTACACTTCCACTCATCCACTACTAGGTACACTTCCACTCATCCACTACTAGGTACACTTCCACTCATCCACTACTAGGTACACTTCCACTCATCCACTACTAGGTACACTTCCACTCATCCACTACTAGGTACACTTCCACTCATCCACTACTAGGTACACTTCCACTCATCCACTACTAGGTTAACTCTTCCACTCACGCACTTCTAGGTAGGCTGTTCCACTCACCCACTTCTAGGTAGGCTGTTCCACTCACCCACTTCTAGGTAGGCTGTTCCACTCACCCACTTCTAGGTAGGCTGTTCCACTCACCCACTTCTAGGTAGGCTGTTCCACTCACCCACTTCTGGGTTTAGGCTTTTTCCACTAAACCCACTTCTAGGTAGGCTGTTCCACTCACCACTTCTAGGTAGGCTGTTTCCACTCACCCACTTCTAGGTAGGCTGTTCCACTCACCCACTTCTAGGTAGGTTTGTTCCACTCACCCACTTCTAGGTAGGCTGTTCCACTCACCCACTTTAGGTAGGCTGTTCCACTCACCCATTCTAGGTAGGCTGTTCCATCACCCACTTCTAGGTAGGCTGTTCCACTCCACCACTTCTAGGTAGGCTGTTCCACTAAACCCCTTCTAGGTAGGCTGTTCCACTCACCCACTTCTAGGTAGGCTGTTTCCACTCACCCACTTCTAGGTAGGCTGTTCCACTCACCAACTTCTAGGTAGGCTGTTCCCACTCACCCACTTCTAGGTAGGCTGTTTCCACTCACCCACTTCTAGGTAGGCTGTTCCACTCACCCACTTCTAGGTAGGCTGTTCCACTCACCCACTTCTAGGTAGGCTGTTCCACTCACCCACTTCTATGTAGGCTGTTCAACTCACCCACTTCTAGGTAGACTGTTCCACTCACCCACTTCTAGGTAATATTCCACTCACCCACTTCTAGGTAGACTGTTCCACTCACCCACTTCTAGGTAATATTCCACTCACCCACTTCTAGGTAGACTGTTCCACTCACCCACTTCTAGGTAGACTGTTCCACTCACCCACTTCTAGGTAGATGTTCCACTCACCCACTTCTATGTAGGCTGTTCCACTCACCCACTTCTAGGTAGACTGTTCCACTCACCCATTTCTAGGTAATATTCCACTCACCCACTTCTAGGTAGACTGTTCCACTCACCCACTTCTAGGTAGATGTTCCACTCACCCACTTCTAGGTAGACTGTTCTACTCACCCACTTCTAGGTAGATGTTCCACTCACCCACTTCTAGGTAGACTTTTTCCACTCCCCCCACTTCTAGGTAGATGTTCCACTCCCCCACTTCTAGTAGACTTTTTCCACTCACCCACTTTTTAGGTAGACTTTTCCCCACTCACCCACTTCTAGGTAGACTGTTCCATCCACCCTACTAGGTAGACTGTTCCACTCACCCACTTCTAGGTAACTGTTCCACTCACCCTTCTAGGTAGACTGTTCCACTCACCCACTTCTAGGTAGACTGTTCCACTCACCCACTTCTAGGTAGACTGTTCCACTCACTCACTTCTAGGTAGACTGTTCCACTCACGCACTTCTAGGTAGACTGTTCCACTCACGCACTACTAGGTAGACTGTTCAACTCACCCACTTCTAGGTAGTCTGTTCCACTCACTCACTTCTAGGTAGACTGTTCCACTCACCCACTTCTAGGTAGACTGTTCCACTCACCCACTTCTAGGTAGACTGTTCCACTCACGCACTTCTAGGTAGACTGTTCCACTCACGCACTTCTAGGTAGACTGTTCCACTCACCCACTTCTAGGTAGACTGTTCCACTCACCCACTTTTTAGGTAGACTTTTTCCACTCACTCACTTCTAGGTAGACTGTTCCACTCACCCACTACTAGGTAGACTGTTCCACTCACCCACTTCTAGGTAGACTGTTCCACTCACCCACTTCTAGGTAGACTGTTCCACTCACTCACTTCTAGGTAGACTGTTCCACTCACCCACTTCTAGGTAGACTGTTCCACTCACCCTCTTCTAGGTAGACTGTTCCACTCACCCACTTCTAGGTAGACTTCCACTCACCCACTTCTAGGTAGACTGTTCCACCCACTCACTTTAGGTGGGACTGTTCCACTCACCCAAATTCTAGGTAGACTGTTCCACTCACCCACTTCTAGGTAGACTGTTACACTCACCCACTTCTGTGTAGACTGTTCCACTCACCCACTTCTAGGTAGACTGTTCCACTCACCCACTTCTAGGTAGACTGTTCCACTCACTCACTTCTAGGTAGACTGTTCCACTCACCCACTTCTAGGTAGACTGTTCCACTCACCCTCTTCTAGGTAGACTGTTCCACTCACCCACTTCTAGGTAGACTTCCACTCACCCACTTCTAGGTTAGACTTTTTGCACTCACTCCTTCTGGGTAAAACTGTTTCCACTCACCCACTTCTAGGTAAAACTGTTCCACTCACCCACTTCTATGTAGACTGTTCCACTCACTCACTTCTAGGTAGACTGTTCCACTCACCCACTTCTAGGTATACTGTTCCACTCACCCACTTCTAGGTAGACTGTTCCACTCACTCACTTCTAGGTAGACTGTTCCACTCACCCTCTTCTAGGTAGACTGTTCCACTCACCCACTTCTAGGTAGACTGTTCCACTCACCCACTTCTAGGTAGACTGTTCCACTCACCCCACTTCTGGGTTTAGACTGTTCCACTCCCCCTTTTCTGGGGTTAGACTGTTCCACTCCCCCACTTTCAGGTAGACTGTTTCCACTCACCCACTTCTAGGTAGACTGTTCCACTCCTACTTCTAGGTATACTGTTCCACTCACCCTCTTCTAGGTAGACTGTTCCACTCACCCACTTCTAGGTAGACTGTTCCACTCACTCACTTCTAGGTATACTGTTCCACTCACCCTCTTCTAGGTAGACTGTTCCACTCACCCACTTCTAGGTAGACTGTTCCACTCACTCACTTCTAGGTAGACTGTTCCACTCACCCTCTTCTAGGTAGACTGTTCCACTCACCCACTTCTAGGTAGACTGTTCCACTCACTCACTTCTAGGTATACTGTTCCACTCACCCTCTTCTAGGTAGACTGTTCCACTCACCCACTTCTAGGTAGACTGTTCCACTCACTTCTAGGTAGACTGTTCCACTCACCCTCTTCTAGGTAGACTGTTCCACTCACCCACTTCTAGGTAGACTGTTCCACTCACCCACTACTTACTATCATATATCCTTTCTAAATCTAAACTTATCCAATTTGAATCCACCTATCCAAACTGAATCCAACAGTTATTACAGTAACTGACTTCAAACTTCAGGTGAGGTCAACCGGAGCGACGGCCCCGTCGCTGGAAGTCAAGATAACTATCAACCCAGGAACGTCAGACTGACAGATGAGACCTTCGCTGGGAGGCAGCAAGACGACCCGGAGCTGATCCAGTACATATGTTACCATCTGCACCGGCCCTCCAGCCTCCCTTACAACCTTAGTAAACCTCAAGTAAATGACCACTCACAGTACGGACAGTCTCTTCACTTGATGAATAACATACTACACGGCATGGTGAGTACATAAGGTGGAGCACTGCAGTTGGCCTACTGGCCCAGACTAGACAGGTCTTTCTCAAACCCAAACAAACTAACAAGCATATTTGCCCAACCCATTTTTAATGCTACCAATAAAACTGATAGCTCTATTGACTAATAGGGTTAGAACCTTTGGTGAGCCGTAAAACTCATAAGCCATGGGTTCTAACACCACCCGTTCCCTAGTCATAACAATAATAATAATAATAATAATAATAATAATAATAATAAAAATAATCTTTATTTCTGAAAGTACATGATACAACTTATACAGACCATAACTGACACCAGTGATATACTATATAGAAAGTCTCTGATTATATAGAGCATTTCCTGCAACTTAGGTTAATTTTGTCTCCCAGGATGCCACCCACACCAGTCGACTAACACCCAAGTACTTACTGCTAGGTGGACAGGGACAGCAGGTGTAAGAAAACACGCCCCAATAAGGGGCGTGTAAGGAACCTTCCGTATGAAGATAGACTTAAAGCCTTAAATCTCCACTCTCTGGAGAGGCGTAGAATGAGGGAAGATATCATTGAAGTGTATAAGTGGATGATGGGCATAAACAAGGGAGACATTAATAAAGTACTGAGGGTGTCGAACCAGGTAAGAACCAGAAACAATGGATTTAAGTTGGATAAATTTAGATTTAGAAAGGATATAGGTAAGTACTGGTTTTCTAACAGAGTTGTAGATGCGTGGAACAGTCTTCCCAGTGGGGTGATAGAGGCTAGGACCTTGGGTAGCTTTAAGAAGAGACTGGACAAATATATGAGTGGGAGGGGCTGGGTTTGATTGGTGTCATTGGGTACGGGAGTTATTTCTTGGGTAGCTTAAGCTAGAGGTCGTTTTGATAAGGACCTGCCTCGCATGGGCCAGTAGGCCTTCTGCAGTGTTCCTCCATTCTTATGTTCTTATGTAATCTTTCCAGTCGTACCGGGGATCGAACCACGGACCTCAGTGTGTGAGCTGAGTGCGCTAGCGATCGAGCTACGGGACACTCCAGGTCGCACTAGCGATGCAGCTTTTCTACTGAGTACGAGATGCTTTATGTCTCTCTGTGTCAGGTATATCATGGTTATATCGATTCCAGGCTGAGGGAATGGTTACCTCAAACTCATGATTTTCACCATTCTTCTTTTGTTTAGGACTGATGAAGTCACTGTGTGACGAAACGTTTCCTCAACAAAGATACAAAAGTGTTATACATGTGTCTAATTCATCATCTTGATTCAGAGATGTGATGAATGGTTTGAAAAACCGACAAGTTGAAGATTGAGACACTTATGCAGCATATGGGAATCTTTATTCAGGAAACGTTTCGCCACACAGTGGCTTCTTCAGTCCAATACAAAGAGGAAGGCGTAAGGAGAGGAGGAGAATGAGGTAATCAGTCCCTCAACCTGGAGTCGATGTGTTCAGTCCATCAATCTTGTAGAATGTACAGCATAGGGCCGTAGAAGTGGCTTATATACTGTAGAGATGTGAGGTGAAGCAGGCGGAGGCGGGGTCATAGTGGTACCATCCACTAGTCGAAGTAGGTCTTCGTCCAAAGGTTGAACAAGTGTTGAAGAATTCTTTGTAACAAGATCCCATGATGCTGCAGTGTCTGACAGTTGTGATGAATGGTTTGAAAAACCGACAAGTTGAAGATTGAGACACTTATGTGGCGAAACGTTTCCTGAATAAAGATTCCCATATGCTGCATAAGTGTCTCAATCTTCAACTTGTCGGTTTTTCAAACCATTCATCACAACTGTCAGACACTGCAGCATCATGGGATCTTGTTACAAAGAATTCTTCAACACTTGTTCAACCTTTGGACGAAGACCTACTTCGACTAGTGGATGGTACCACTATGACCCCGCCTACATCTGCTTCACGTCACCTCACTACAGTATATAAGCCACGTCTACGGCCCTATGCTGTACATTCCTACAAGATTGATGGACTGAAAAACATCGACTCCAGGTTGAGGGACTGATTACCTCATTCTCCTCCTCTCCTTACGCCTTCCTCTTTGTATTGGACTGATGAAGCCACTGTGTGGCGAAACGTTTCCTGAATAAAGATTCCCATATGCTGCATAAGTGTCTCAATCTTCAACTTGTCGGTTTTTCAAACCATTCATCACAACTGTCAGACACTGCAGCATCATGGGATCTTGTTTACAAAAATTCTTCACACTTTTTCAACCTTTGGACGATGACCTACTTCGACTAGTGGATGGTACCACTATGGACCCGCCTCCGCCTGCTTCACCTCACATCTCTACAGATATAAGCCATTCTACGGCCTATGCTGTACATTCTACAAGATTGATGGACTGAAACACATCGACTCCAGGTTGAGGGAAACTGATTACCTCATTCTCCTCCTCTCCTTACGCCTTCCTCTTTGTATTGGACTGAAGAAGCCACTGTGTGGCGAAACGTTTCCTGAATAAAGATTCCCATATGCTGCATAAGTGTCTCAATCTTCAACTTGTCGGTTTTTCAAACCATTCATCACAACTGTCAGACACTGCAGCATCATGGGATCTTGTTACAAAGAATTCTTCAACACTTGTTCAACCTTTGGACGAAGACCTACTTCGACTAGTGGATGGTACCACTATGACCCCGCCTCCGCCTGCTTCACCTCACATCTCTACAGTATATAAGCCACTTCTACGGCCCTATGCTGTACATTCTACAAGATTGATGGACTGAACACATCGACTCCAGGTTGAGGGACTGATTACCTCATTCTCCTCCTCTCCTTACGCCTTCCTCTTTGTATTGGACTGAAGAAGCCACTGTGTGGCGAAACGTTTCCTGAATAAAGATTCCCATATGCTGCATAAGTGTCTCAATCTTCAACTTGTCGGTTTTTCAAACCATTCATCACAACTGTCAGACACTGCAGCATCATGGGATCTTGTTACAAAGAATTCTTCAACACTTGTTCAACCTTTGGACGAAGACCTACTTCGACTAGTGGATGGTACCACTATGACCCCGCCTCCGCCTGCTTCACCTCACATCTCTACAGTGTATAAGCCACTTCTACGGCCCTATGCTGTACATTCTACAAGATTGATGGACTGAACACATCGACTCCAGGTTGAGGGACTGATTACCTCATTCTCCTCCTCTCCTTACGCCTTCCTCTTTGTATTGGACTGAAGAAGCCACTGTGTGGCGAAACGTTTCCTGAATAAAGATTCCCATATGCTGCATAAGTGTCTCAATCTTCAACTTGTCGGTTTTTTCAAACCATTCATCACAACTGTCAGATCACTGCAGCATCATGGGATCTTGTTACAAAGAATTCTTCAACACTTGTTCAACCTTTGGACGAAGACCTACTTCGACTAGTGGATGGTACCACTATGACCCCGCCTCCGCCTGCTTCACCTCACATCTCTACAGTATATAAGCCACTTCTACGGCCCTATGCTGTACATTCTACAAGATTGATGGACTGAACACATCGACTCCAGGTTGAGGGACTGATTACCTCATTCTCCTCCTCTCCTTACGCCTTCCTCTTTGTATTGGACTGAAGAAGCCACTGTGTGGCGAAACGTTTCCTGAATAAAGATTCCCATTTGCTGCATAAGTGTCTCAATCTTCAACTTGATTCAGAGAACCATTTATCTCTATCATATGTGTTCGTTTGTACCTATGTGTGTGTCGTTCACTCATTATTCTCACATGTTCAGTGATCAGTTTGTTTATCAGTCACGGGATACGTGATTTATGAAAAAAAAAGATGGAAGATAGTATTGGCCTGTTGTGACGACAGCCTAGCATGGGCCAGTAGGCCTTATGTAGTGCCCCTTCTTTCTTATGTTTACATATCTGACCCTTTTATAATGCGTTTTGCAGCCACACTATCAGTTAGCCTTACCCGTGGTTAAGAGTTAGAGTTCCGAAGAACTAGACACATGTACAACATCGGGTATCTTTATTTGCGGACGTTCCGCCATCCAGTGGCTTTATCAATACAAGAATATTAATGTAAAGACAGTAGAACTATATACAAAAGGTGAGGTAATCAGTCCCTCAGTCTTGGAGTTGGTGTGAAGAGCACCGTAGTCTTGAAGACTCTGAAACATAGGCATTACTGTACATGTCCTCAGAATTAAGATTCCATGATGTTGCAGTGTCTGACAAGTTGTGTACGAATGGTATATAATACCGACAAGATGAGAGTAAGACACATGTGCAACATCTGGGTATCTTTATTGTAGACGTTTGGCCATCCAGTGGCTTTATCAATACAAATTCCAGGACATAACTTGAAGACAGTAGAACTATGTACAGAAGATGAGGTAATCAGTCCCTCAACCTAGGAGTAGTGCGAACAGCACCATAGTCGTGGAGATTCTGAAGCAGAAGAAAGAATCCTGGCGCTTATATAGTAACGTCAGGTGAAGCAGACGAGGGCAAATTCACTGGTGGGCGGGATTCCCCAGTGGAAGTAGGTCCTTCCCAAAGAGATGGGTTAGTTGTAGTAGTAGTTGTCGTAGTTGTGAAGGTTATGTACATGTCCTCAGAATTAAGATTCCATGATGTTGCAGTGTCTGACAAGTTGTGTACGAATGGTATAATACCGACAAGATGAGAGTAAGACACATGTGCAACATCTGGGTATCTTTATTGTAGACGTTTGGCCATCCAGTGGCTTTATCAATACAAATTCCAGGACATAACTTGAAGACAGTAGAACTATGTACAGAAGATGAGGTAATCAGTCCCTCAACCTAGGAGTAGGTGCGAACAGCACCATAGTCGTGGAGATTCTGAAGCAGAAGAAAGAATCCTGGCGCTTATATAGTAACGTCAGGTGAAGCAGACTGGGGAATCCCGCCCACCAGTGAATTTGCCCTCGTCTGCTTCACCTGACGTTACTATATAAGCGCCAGGATTCTTTCTTCTGCTTCAGAATCTCCACGACTATGGTGCTGTTCGCACCTACTCCTAGGTTGAGGGACTGATTACCTCATCTTCTGTACATAGTTCTACTGTCTTCAAGTTATGTCCTGGAATTTGTATTGATAAAGCCACTGGATGGCGAAACGTTACAATAAAGATACCCAGATGTTGCACATGTGTCTTACTCTCATCTTGTCGGTATTATATACCATTCGTACACAACTTGTCAGACACTGCAACATCATGGAATCTTAATTCTGAGGACATGTACATAACCTTCACAACTACGACAACTACTACTACAACTAACCCATCTCTTTGGGAAGGACCTACTTCCACTGGGGAATCCCGCCCACCAGTGAATTTGCCCTCGTCTGCTTCACCTGACGTTACTATATAAGCGCCAGGATTCTTTCTTCTGCTTCAGAATCTCCACGACTATGGTGCTGTTCGCACCTACTCCTAGGTTGAGGGACTGATTACCTCATCTTCTGTACATAGTTCTACTGTCTTCAAGTTATGTCCTGGAATTTGTATTGATAAAGCCACTGGATGGCGAAACGTCTACAATAAAGATACCCAGATGTTGCACATGTGTCTTACTCTCATCTTGTCGGTATTATATACCATTCGTACACAACTTGTCAGACACTGCAACATCATGGAATCTTAATTCTGAGGACATGTACATAACCTTCACAACTACGACAACTACTACTACAACTAACCCATCTCTTTGGGAAGGACCTACTTCCACTGGGGAATCCCGCCCACCAGTGAATTTGCCCTCGTCTGCTTCACCTGACGTTACTATATAAGCGCCAGGATTCTTTCTTCTGCTTCAGAATCTCCACGACTATGGTGCTGTTCGCACCTACTCCTAGGTTGAGGGACTGATTACCTCATCTTCTGTACATAGTTCTACTGTCTTCAAGTTATGTCCTGGAATTTGTATTGATAAAGCCACTGGATGGCCAAACGTCTACAATAAAGATACCCAGATGTTGCACATGTGTCTTACTCTCATCTTGTCGGTATTATATACCATTCGTACACAACTTGTCAGACACTGCAACATCATGGAATCTTAATTCTGAGGACATGTACATAAACCTTCACGACTACGACAACTACTACTACAACTAACCCATCTCTTTGGGAAGGACCTACTTCCACTGGGGAATCCCGCCCACAGTGAATTTGCCCTCGTCTGCTTCACCTGACGTTACTATATAAGCGCCAGGATTCTTTCTTCTGCTTCAGAATCTCCACGACTATGGTGCTGTTCGCACCTACTCCTAGGTTGAGGGACTGATTACCTCATCTTCTGTACATAGTTCTACTGTCTTCAAGTTATGTCCTGGAATTTGTATTGATAAAGCCACTGGATGGCCAAACGTCTACAATAAAGATACCCAGATGTTGCACATGTGTCTTACTCTCATCTTGTCGGTATTATATACCATTCGTACACAACTTGTCAGACACTGCAACATCATGGAATCTTAATTCTGAGGACATGTACATAACCTTCACAACTACGACAACTACTACTACAACTAACCCATCTCTTTGGGAAGGACCTACTTCCACTGGGGAATCCCGCCCACCAGTGAATTTGCCCTCGTCTGCTTCACCTGACGTTACTATATAAGCGCCAGGATTCTTTCTTCTGCTTCAGAATCTCCACGACTATGGTGCTGTTCGCACCTACTCCTAGGTTGAGGGACTGATTACCTCATCTTCTGTACATAGTTCTACTGTCTTCAAGTTATGTCCTGGAATTTGTATTGATAAAGCCACTGGATGGCCAAACGTCTACAATAAAGATACCCAGATGTTGCACATGTGTCTTACTCTCATCTTGTCGGTATTATATTACCATTCGTACACAACTTGTCAGACACTGCAACATCATGGAATCTTAATTCTGAGGACATGTACATAACCTTCACAACTACGACAACTACTACTACAACTAACCCATCTCTTTGGGAAGGACCTACTTCCACTGGGGAATCCCGCCCACCAGTGAATTTGCCCTCGTCTGCTTCACCTGACGTTACTATATAAGCGCCAGGATTCTTTCTTCTGCTTCAGAATCTCCACGACTATGGTGCTGTTCGCACCTACTCCTAGGTTGAGGGACTGATTACCTCATCTTCTGTACATAGCTCTACTGTCTTCAAGTTATGTCCTGGAATTTGTATTGATAAAGCCACTGGATGGCGAAACGTCTACAATAAAGATACCAGATGTTGCACATGTGTCTTACTCTCATCTTGTCGGTATTATATACCATTCGTACACAACTTGTCAGACACTGCAACATCATGGAATCTTAATTCTGAGGACATGTACATAACCTTCACAAACTACGACAACTACTACTACAACTAACCCATCTCTTTGGGAAGGACCTACTTCCACTGGGGAATCCCGCCCACCAGTGAATTTGCCCTCGTCTGCTTCACCTGACGTTACTATATAAGCGCCAGGATTCTTTCTTCTGCTTCAGAATCTCCACGACTATGGTGCTGTTCGCACCTACTCCTAGGTTGAGGGACTGATTACCTCATCTTCTGTACATAGTTCTACTGTCTTCAAGTTATGTCCTGGAATTTGTATTGATAAAGCCACTGGATGGCCAAACGTCTACAATAAAGATACCCAGATGTTGCACATGTGTCTTACTCTCATCTTGTCGGTATTATATACCATTCGTACACAGTAACCAGTAGACTCACTACCAACCGTCTGTGTGAATCACTGACTGTTATTCACGTTGCTGCTGATCATAGCATGTTTTTGAACACCGCTCACCCCTAGGCACTGGTGGGTCAGTCTGAGATAGAGAGCAGAGAGAGGCAGGGCGGTTGATGGTGCTTCCCATGCTTTCCGTAATAATTATACGTACTAACCAGCCTATGTGAGTGTTTATACTCCATCCACGTTATCGAACCCACATGACATCGCTGCTGCTGCTACTTCACTTGTCCGTTGCACTCTCAGCACAGGCATGAAGACTGGCGCTTATATACTGACGTCAGGTGAAGGACGTGTAGCAGACGAGGACATTACCTCTGGTAGGCGCGATTACCCAGTGGAAGCAGATCATACCCAGGGATGGGCCAGTAGTAAGCAAGAAGGTTGTGGTGATGTCCTCTGTACCAAGATTCTATGATGTTGCAGTGTCTGACATGGTGTACATACAGTAGCAGTACTGTTATCGGGGATGACTGCCCCGATGCTGAGTAACATCCCATCCAATGGATACAGTAATCCTAATCCACTCTTGTGTCACAGAAAGGAGGCTTCTTCGTGGAGGTGGGAGCCATGGATGGAGAAATTTTTAGCAACACACTCTACTTAGAGCAGCACTTCCAGTGGACGGGACTCCTCATAGAGCCTTACCCAGTGACCTACAGAGAGCTCCTCCACAAACACCGTAGAGCTTACTCAATTAATGCTGCTCTCTCTCTCACTCACACCTCAGCATCCATGAAACTCTCTCACTCACACCTCAGCATCCATGAAACTCAAGTAGGTTTGTGAGGAACAACCCACACTGACTTCCACAAAATAATAATAATTATTAAAATACTAACATCAATAATAATAATATAACTAATTTTAATAATAACAATAACAAATAATAATAAGATGATACTATCTACTAGACAATTAATGAATAATACATAATAATAATAATAATTTAGTAGTTATTGTGTAGATAAATGGAAATACTCTTAGTGTATAAACACTGAGAAATACAGTATATATACACTCTATATAATTTATTTTCTCGTCATGGCTACCCTTCCCATTTCACAGACTCTGACTTCTCACGTAATAAACGGACTTTCTTCTCTCCCAAACTCTCTACTCCTGGGAACTCTCCTGTCTTCTGCCTTCTCTATATTTCCAGTCTTTCTAATTTCAACAACTCTCTCCGTTCCTTAAACATCAAACTTACTTTCCGCCAGACTAACACTCTTCGCACTAATCTCGTTCATACATCTCCTCCCTGTACAGATGTTCCTGGTGTCTACTCTATTTCTTGTTCATCTTGTCCTTTTCAGTACTTTGGAGAAACTGCTTTGTATTGGACTGATGTAGCCACTGTGCGGCGAAACGTTTCCTTAATAAATGTTCCCATATGCTGCATAAGTGTCACAGCTTTCCTTGTATGAATCTTAGTCGTGGCTTTGTCTCTGTAGATGCCTTCCTCTCCCACTACATTGTAAAATGCTCCAAACTTCAGAACACCCGTGACTTAACCTGATTTGTTTTTCTCCTCTCTGTTCCCCTTTCCTTTTTTTTTTTTCTTCTTTGGGTTTTCTTTCTTCTGCCTTGGGTGTTTGGTTCTTTTTATTCCTTTCCCTGTTTTTGTTCCTACCCTACAAAGGGTAGTCTTAGACTCCACCACTACTACCTTTCTACTTCCTTTCCTACTACCTCTCTTGCTTCCAGTAATGTCTGTTGGTCTACGTATACTCCCTCCTTCCTGTTAGTGTGACTTTGTAAATTGTCCAAGTCGGACCGAAATGTCGCTGTAAGCTCCTCTTTCCTATGTGATGATTATGTGTATTGTTCCAGTCAATATTCTCAGTGTATATGACCCCCAGCTGGGGTTTTAGGCCTTCCGATGGCTTATGTGTACCTCCTTATTCAATAGACCAGACGGAGGACATGGTTCGTTGAGTGCCCTGGACAAGAAGGGCATCCCGGTTAAGGCCTTCCCCCTGTTCTCAGTCTTTCTGGCTCTCAACGTTACAGTCGTCGACTTCTTGTCCCTTGACATCGAAGGAGCCGAAGTTAAGGTCTGTGGAGAATAATTACACCGCCTCTTATGGTGGCCTAGACACAACTCATACATAGAAGACAGAAGCAATGGCAATGTTATGGTCCAACTTGGTCCATTGATTAGTCAAGGGTCCAAGTCGGACCGAAACGTTGTCATAGTTTCTCCTATGTGAGGGTTGAAGATTGAGACACTTAAGCAACATATGAGAATCTTTATTGAAGAAACGTTTCGCCACACAGTGGCTTCATCAGTCCAATACAAAGCAGAAAGTTGTTAGGAGAGGAGGAGTTTGAGGCAATCAGTCCCTCAGCCTGGAATCAATGTTTTCAGTCCACCAATCTTGTAGAAAGTACAGCATAGGGCCAGAGAAGTGGTTTATATACTGTAGACAGATGAGTCGAAGCAGGAGGCGGCGGGATCACAGTGGAATCATCTACTAGTGTAAGTAAGTCTTCGTCCAAAAGGTTGGACAAGTGTTGAAGAATTTTTTGTATCAAGATCCCATGATGTAGCAGTGTCTGACAGATGTGACAAATGTGCTTTATATGGACTGATGAAGTCACTGTGTGGCGAAACGTTTCCTCAATAAAGATTCTATATGTTAGGTGTCTCACTCTTCAACTTGTCGGTTTTCAAAACCACTTGTCACATGTGAGGGTTATTTGTGTATCGTTCCAGTCACGGTGTTGTAGTAACTGTTATGGTTGTAGGAGATAATGAAAGGCAGAATATCCAGCTGTGTTTACTCTCGCTTCACCTCGGGTAACAACAACACAGCTATAAATGCATGAACCTAACAAACATAGTATTTAATCCCCTCACTGCTCCCAACACCTTACACTAACCTAATTAAATGTCAACTCCTACAATTGATGTACAATCATGTACCCCCATTTGATTTATAAGCATCAATCTACAGTTTGGCAATTGAATTGACCTTGCAAAATATTGCTTCCCCAATGTTTTTAAAATATTTTTCATCTATAACCTCTGAGAAATAAATCAGATTCTTCAAGAAAAAATCTTAGAGTTCTCCCAGAAGTCGTTTGATTTTTGCCCTTCTACTGACACCCCAATAACTGCGTTTTTTTCATATATTACATTCAATTTTTAAGTGGTGGAGTGGTAAGCCAGTGGAAGGCCTCGGTCAGATGACCAAAAGATCCAACTGTGGGACATCATATGATTAAAACCCCGTCAGGAAACACTTGTCCTGTTTCCTGACCTTTCTTATCTAACCTGACCTTTTATTTTTAATTGACGATATAGTTGACAGGCACAAACATGTATATATTAGATCAATATTTTAAGGAAGATTCTAAATATAATCCAACTCTGCAGAAGCTTCAAAGAAAACGAGAAGGAAGCGCATTTATTGTGTGGCTGGCAATACTGAAACATTCACAGTGGCAATACTGAAACATTCACAGTGGCAATACTGAAACATTCACAGTGGCCAATACTGAATACATTCTCAGTGGCAATACTGAAACATTCACAGTGGCAATACTGAAACATTCACAGTGGCAATACTGAAACATTCACAGTGGCAATACTGAAACATTCACAGTGGCAATACTGAAACATTTACAGTGGCAATACTGAAACATTCACAGTGGCAGTACTGAAACATTTACAGTGGCAATACTGAAACATTCACAGTGCCAATACTGAAACATTCACAGTGGCAATACTGAAACATTCACAGTGGCAATACTGAAACATTTACAGTGGCAATACTGAAACATTCACAGTGGCAGTACTGAAACATTTACAGTGGTAATACTGAAACATTCACAGTGCCAATACTGAAACATTCACAGTGGCAATACTGAAACATTCACAGTGGCAGTACTGAAACATTTACAGTGGCAATACTGAAACATTCACAGTGCCAATACTGAAACATTCACAGTGGCAATACTGAAACATTCACAGTGGCAGTACTGAAACATTTACAGTGGCAATACTGAAACATTCACAGTGGCAGTACTGAAACATTTACAGTGGCAATACTGAAACATTCACAGTGGCAGTACTGAAACATTTACAGTGGCAATACTGAAACATTTACAGTGGCAGGACTGAAACATTCACAGTGGCAGTACTGAATCATTCACAGTGGCAGTACTGAAACATTCACAGTGGCAATACTGAAACATTCACAGTGGCAATACTGAAACATTCACAGTGGCAATACTGAAACATTCACAGTGGCAATACTGAAACATTCACAGTGGCAATACTGAAACATTCACAGTGGCAATACTGAAAAATTCACAGTGGCAATACTGAAACATTCACAGTGGCAATACTGAAACATTCACAGTGGCAATATTGAAACATTCACAGTGGCATTACTGAAACATTCACAGTGGCAATACTGAAACATTCACAGTGGAAATAGTGAAACATCACAGTAGCAATACTGAAACATTCACAGTGGCAATACTGAAACATTCACAGTGGCAATACTGAAACATTCACAGTGGCAATACTGAAACATTCACAGTGCCAATACTGAAACATTCACAGTGGCAATACTGAAACATTCACAGTGGCAATACTGAAACATTCACAGTGGAAATAGTGAAACATCACAGTAGCAATACTGAAACATTCACAGTGGCAATCGTGAAACATTCACAGTGGCATTACTGAAACATTCACAGTGGCAATACTGAAACATTCACAGTGGCAATACTGAAACACTTCCAGGGCCAAATACTGAAACATTCACAGTGGCAATACTGAAACATTCACAGTGGCAATACTGAAACATTCACAGTGGCAATACTGAAACATTCACAGTGGCAGTACTGAAACATTCAGCTTCCTGGCAGCCGAAGCAAAAACAAGGCAAATACCACATCTAGTATCGGGCCCTTACTCAGACAGGATGGGACTTACACAGATGACAACAAGGAAATGAGTGAAATATTGAAATCCCAGTACGACTCTGTGTTTAGTGAACCACTAATCGGTCTGAGATTCGACGACCCAAATGATTTCTTCATGAATGAGCCTCAAAACTCCATAAATGTATGCCAGATTTCCGACATTACCCTAACTCTGATAGATTTCGAAAAAGCCATTGACAACATGCCCATGCACTCAGCCCCGGGCCCAGACTCGTGGAACTCTGTTTTCATTAAGAACTGCAAGAAACCCCTCTCACGTGCCCTAAGTACACTATGGAGGAGGAGCTTGGACATGGGTGAAATTCCACAGTCACTTAAAATAACAGATATAGCCCCACTCCATAAAGGTGGCAGAAAAGCATTAGCTAAGAACTATAGACCAATAGCTCTGACGTCCCACATCATAAAATCTTTGAAAGAGTGCTAAGAAGCAGGATTGCAAATCACCTGGATTCCCAAAATCCGCACAATCTAGGGCAACATGGGTTCAGGGCAGGTCGCTCCTGCCTCTCACAACTACTGGATCACTATGATATGGCCTTGGATGCACTCGAAGAAAATCAGAATGCAGATGTAATATACACAGACTTTGCAAAAGCATTTGACAAAGCGATCATGGTGTAATAGCCCATAAAATACGTGCTAAAGGAATAACTGGGAAAGTGGGGAGATGGATCTTCAACTTCCTAACAAATCCAACATAAAGAGTAGTGGTCAACAGAGTTAAATCGGAGGCTGCCATAGTGAAGAGCTCTGTTCCACAAGGCACAGTACTCGCCCCTATCTTTTTCCCTTATCCTCATATCAGACATAGA